CATCGACTTCTTCTTGGATTAGGTTAACTTGCTCTTGTGTTTCAATCGAGCCAAGTTTTGCCACGTTATCACATATTATGTTCAAAATTGACTGTAGATCATTCTTATCTAGTTGTAAAGCTCCCATATTCACATTTTCCAGTTTAAAACGAGAATCAACGACTGTGATTAGTTCATGAATTCTACAAATGTCATTCTTTAGGGCAACTTTGACAGGCCCAGCACTTTGTTGTCTAGCCTTTTGTTCGATTGTTGCCTTTACACTAACAAATACACTCCTAGCTTCTTGATAGCACATTTTTACATTGTCTCTGTAAGTCCTAATGTCTTCACCATTAACTACACGGTGTTCAGCGTATTTTTCGTCAGATACAATAAGTTCGTATTCCTCATTTATAACGCAAAAATCATCAAATACCTTTTCAAGTTCGAACATTGAATCCTTTAAAATATCATATTCACAATCTCTGTTGTAGGCTCCGATCAGACGCCTCGCAGCGAAAGTGACCGCCATTTTAGCCTTGCTTCTTTCTTGTTTTTTATCTTCAACATTCATGGCTGATTCCTGGATTTGTCTTCAAGCAATACACAAGTTTTGGGCTGCAAAACTCCTTTGTATTTAGGCTTCTTCACAATTCTGGAATGCCACAGCAAACGTTAGTGTTTTACTGTACTGGGATTGCCAGTAAATGAGGCGAAAAACAGGTTTCAACTCACTTTAATTATAAAAATATGGAAAATTACAAAATAATAGATTTAGGTAAAACACTGTTTTCCTTCGCACGCCATATTAGTTCCTATGCGCATGCTCTAACAAAACGTAAATAAAAACATCGTCCAAAAGGCGATCGCAGAGATTATTGTCTACAACTTTACTACAACCCAATACAATGACCAACTCTCAGGCATGACCAACACGCTGACTTGTCCTTGAGCAGGTTAATTCTCTCTTCAGGCGACTTGGAAAGGTAAAGGTTACATGTATCTGTCCAATGATCACTATTGGGATGAAATAGGCACTTGTTTTGTGAGATAATGGTTTCCTTCTGCTGCTCCGTATTACTTTCATCCTCATGGCCATCTTCCTCTAATTTCTCACTCGCAGTAAGGTTGACTGTTCCAGCATATGAAGTATTGCTTCGTAAGTTGCTGGATATTGTCTAATATCACCGTCAAATGTTGGCATTTTCAGTTTTTCCAATCTGAGATTACACAATTCCTTACTTTTACTTGTTGATTCTAGCTTCTTTAGTTTCTCCTGTTCCTTCGCAATACCGACTGCAATTCTTGATGTTATGGCATTATACTCCTTTTGAATATTTTTCATCCAAATAAATTCTGCATCTGCTTTGTCCTTATCGAGCAGTTCAAGGTATTTATCATTAGCTTCCTTGCAGTCAGCCACTGCTGCATCTAATCCTTCCTGAGCTTTTTTTAGAGCAGCCGTAATACAATCCATTTCCAGTACTGGTTTCACATCCTCTACTAACTGCTGAAAAACAATTTCACTAGTTTTCCTCTTTATTGTCATCTGCTGAACCATCTTTTCCATTTTTTCCTGGTCTTTCTTAGTTGTCTCTTGAAGTCTTTCTTCATCCATAGCCTTTTTACCAGCTGCTGCTTTACTGTGGACATAGCTTACCTCCTTTTCCATTGCGTCACCAAAGCTCTTTTGCAGCTCCTCAATCCAAGTCTCTTCATGCTCGCAGTCCTTATCTTCGATGAGTGCAACAGACATATCGTGTTTGCTTTCCACATTTTTCCACGATTCTTTTAGCTCTACATAGGTTCTATCTACAATCTCAAGTCCCTTATCTTCAGCAACTGCTCTTAGAAATTCCTTTAACTTCCTAATAAATTTGCTCTTAGCACTTGTTCTCTGACTTTTGGCACTGACTTTCTATTTCGTTGGACATTTTTGTTTTTATACGTTGTTCGGTTCACTACGTTTAATACTGAAACACTAACTCATCAAAATTCTGGCATAATTTAGGCTTTCGTACCTTCAGAGACGGATTTCGAATGTTTTGTTAGCCGCTTTCTTCGATTTTAACCGCCCTTTCAGAAACAACGACGAATGTCAAAGTACATTTAATAGTTTCGAAATCTAAACAATACAAAATTACACATACTTTTACAATAAAAAAGACATGCAAAATACAAAAATAATGCAGATAAACGGAAAGTCACATGCAATTAATTACCCGGTGGTCTCCTCGCAATTAAACGGCTACAAATTCTTAAATATCGCCCAAGGGAGCACAGCAGTATTGTTTGCGAGACTTTCGTACCTGTATATGGCTGTAAAATCTCTGAATAGGTAGTCTTTGTCTCCTTTGGTTCGCTAATTTGCATATAAACACTAAAACACTGTTTTTAAATTCGTAAACAAGCCAACAATTTCTTTATATTTTCGTATTTTTACATGGTCGTCCGCTGTACATTGTATCGCATGTAACGGTTGGGTAAATACCACTGAGCTCTACTTAATATATCTGGAGATCGTGCTCCAATACCTCGTCAGTCAAAAATGTGTGGCCAAAAACATGGCGGATTTTGGCCAAATTTACGTCATTTTGACGTCACAATCGACCTAAATTTATGGTGAACACCACTGACCTAAAGTACTAACGTGAAGAAAAAAGTTATTCACACCCCCCTTTCAATTTGCTTAAAACAGAAGGATGTAAAATAGTAAATTCAAAATCTCGGTCGGAAATTTCTATATTGAAACGAGACATTTGCAACCATGCCAACTTTTTGTTCAATTCCTGGTTGCCAAAAATCTACTGAAAGAAAGGACCTGTCCTCACATGCGTAAGGCTCGTATAATCTCTTTTTTTTGTAATAATTTAACGCATGCTGTATTGCTGTATTATTGGCTAATTGTATTGTATTATTGGCAAGCAACATACAATACAATTTATGTTAGTGTACTACAGTGCAAAAGCAGAACAAAATTTTAAAATGTTGACAAGCTTGTGGAGCTGTTGTCGAGCAAGGATTTATTTTCATGCAAGTTGATGGATGTGATGCAGTGATGAAATCCTATCGATATCCTAACAGATAATGCTACGTTAAAAAATTTCAAATGAGAATTTTAACAATGTGATAAAGATACGACTAGCTTTAAATGTACAAAGCCTTTCACTCATTGTATTGTCTTTATTGTGGACTAAACCATGTGTTGCGGTCTAGTGTGGCATTGTTTATATTGTATGTTATAGGTATCATATTGAACAGTGTATTAACTAGACACTAAAAACAATTGTTCATTTACTTCAAAGCTTTCCAGATGAGAAGAGATTCCCTGAATTGCACAGCATATGGGTGAAGAATATAAGCAAACTTATGCCAGTGAAGTTTGTTCCTATGAAAAATAGTCGTTTGTGTTCAAAGCACTTTAGTGCTGATATCTTTGAGGAGGATTTACATTACAGCCAGAGACCAGTGTTAAAGCCATATGCTGTACCAACAATCTTTAATGATTGCTTTGGTCAGCTTGGTTGTGATCTTTACAGTTTATTATCAGTACAATTAATGGTCATACTGTACATAAGGGGTAATTAACCCATTGAGCGCCAGCGCTCTCCCCTTGACGAGTAAAATTGTCTGGCGTTAGACAGAGTAAAATTAATACTAAAATAGGGTGCTTCGCCACTCAATGGGTTAAATTTATTCCTTAATTTTTCTGCTAACAACTTTAAGTTATTTGTACACATTTTGGTCTGTTTAGCTAAGCCAAGATTGCTACATTTACATTTATTTTGACCATTTGTGTTAGTGTACAAATTAGGTTAGCATAATTACTGTAGGTGCTGACCATCAAGTAGGGATTGACATGCATAGAATTGGTTGGGCAGTTTATTTAATTAAATTGGTGTTGTATGTGTTTAAAAATAAAGAATAAATTTTGTTGTGATTTGAAATTGAATATATTATTTATTCTTATTACTAAATGTAATTATATAATTATCTTGGAAAATCTTTTTTTGAATAAAATATTTTTTTTAATAATTCTTCACTGTCGTTCCAATTGAAGTGTTCCTCAAATATTGATTCAATACATTACCTCGGGCTAACCAATTCATTTGATTAAGTTCCTCAAGATATCCATACACTTCCTAGTATAATTGTAAACTTCCTGTTGAATGGTTTGAATGCACCAATCACCTTGTTTGTGCAACTAACTAATCATAAATAGAAAGGAAGTGACCAGAAATGATTAAATACTTGGAATTGGCTCTTTCACAGGAAGTGTATGAATATCTGGAGGAACTTGATGAAATGAGATGCTTGTGTGATGTTACTCTGAGTGTATATCCACACCAGGCAGGCTTGAAAAATATGCCTGGCCACAGTGGGATTTGAACCTACAACCTTTGGAATACTAGCCCAAATGCCAATGCTCTGTCAACTGAGCTACGCGGTCAGGTCGGTTTGAATCCCACTGTGGCTTGGCATATTTTTCAAGGTGTGGATATGCACTCAGAGTAACATCACACAAGCATCATATTCACAAATATCATGGTTATTAGATTACATTGATATCGAAGGAACTATATTCAGTTCCGAAATATCGCATACTCGAACTGCCCCGACTGTCTAGCTCAGTTGGCAGAGCATTGGGCCAGTATTCCAAAGGTTGTAGGTTCAAATCCCACTGTGGCCAGGCATATTTTTCAAGCCTGCCCAGTGTGGATATCCACTCAGAGTACGTAACATCACACAAGCATCTTATTCACCTGAGTACATGTATTACCCCAACACAGCAAATATCTTGATGGAATGAATTGGTCAGCCCGAGGTAATGTATTGAATCAATATTTGAGGAACACTTAAAAATAAGGTATGAATCGCATAAAATGCAGATGTCAAAATCAAACATTGTAACTCGAGCATAAAAATGTGCATATTTGTTTTAAAAGGCGATTGTTCCTTGAATGTTCAATGAAATAGTGCCATTGCCTTTTACAAGGAAGACCATTATAAAGAAATACACTTGACTTTCTTCATTGCCACCTGGTACTTAGTACAGATATTCCATATTTTCTTGATAAATTCATACCTGAAAGAGGAATACATACAGGTGTAAAAAACTTTAATGGTGATATAAGTGCTTTATATTCCAAAGAGTTGCTTTTCCCCACAATTTACTAATAGAATAAACTGGTATTAAAATCTCTAAAAAAACCTTTGTCACTCAGGGAAATTTATAGCAGTACGGTTTTCAACAAGCTATATATTTGCTTAATTTTACTTGCTGGGGATTGTTATAATACTCGTGTTTTAAAGAATAATCTTGATAGTCAGTTGCAACACAAATTCACAATACAACAAGAATTGGTAAATCATTTCAATGACTTACATGCTTTGTTCTTGTGGCCGTCAAGCTCCATTCATGTCTTTTTTTATTAATGGCTTTCGGGGAAACGACAAAACGCGGACCCCAGGTCCATGGACTACCTTTGTGGAACTACACTCGTAGACCACGGACCACTCCCGTGGACCACTCTCGTGGACCACTTGCGAAATTTCGCCTACCGAACAATAGACCAAGCACTATTATTCCGAGTTTAGGGAGCCGAGATTGGCGGGAACTATTTCATTATTCATTTCCATTATTTATTTCACAATCATTCAGTTTTTGTTGATGAACAGTGAATACTAAGTCTGTAAAAATGCTGAAAAAATGTAGTCAGGGTTCCATTAAAAAATATAGGAATACTGTGGAGAATCTGGAGGGGAGGGGAGGAGGGGTCAAAGGATTTTACTGAATTATTCGAATTTTACTGTTAAAAAATCACTTGAACTGTAGAAGTCGTAAGTTGCAATGACCTTTCAATGCCTGAAGGTCCTCTCCCAAAAATATTAATTTTTGAAGCTCGATTACTGCTTTTCTTGCATTTCCTGTAGCAATCGAGAAAAAAAAAACTACCAATTTTAAGGGCATATATTCGGAAACTTTGCATTAAAGTCGTAATTGCACACTTATATTTTAGAACGGTCATGTAGTGAATGGATTTAGAACTTCACATTTTGTGTAAAGTTTCCACAATGATAATAATGACTGAACTCGACTCGAGCACATTTTTGCATGCACAGTCAAGAATTCAAACCCCAAAAATCTGGTGTCTCGCAAGTGGTCCATGAGAGTGGTCCACGAGAGTGGTCCACGAAGGTAGTCCACGGACCAGGTCCACGAAGGTAGTCCACGGACCTGGGGTCCGCGTTTTGTCGTTTCCCTGGCTTTCGGTCTTTATTGATTTATACGCGCAGTTAGAATAATACTGTATTTGCAAAAGGACGAAAATCAAAATACTCTCCATCGTCGATCAACTAATACAAACAACAGTCAGTACATAAATACTGTAAAATCAGGGGGGGGGGTTGAATTTTGTCGCCCACGGACATTCGAGCCATGGGTCAGTGGAAACTGCCATGAAAATAGGTCGATTGTGACGTCAAATCCGCCATGTTTTTGGCCACACACTTTCGTCGAGAGCACGATCTCCAGATATATAAGTATAGCTCAGTGGTAAATACGCGCTAAACCATAGATATAGGAGACCTAGATTGCTGACTCGGCTCAACCGGCGTAACATATTTTTAAAATCCAAGATGGCGGCTCAACAGGGCAAAAATCATAGAACAACATAGGGAAAAACCATGTTTTTTGCATTTTGCGTCGTCCTACAGCTTCCGATCCCGTTCTATCACTTTATTTCGGCAAGAACTAACTGGTGTGAAGGTTTTGGATGAATATTTGTTACAACTAATACAATTTACAAATTACAATTCAGGGCCGTAGGAAGCTCTTTTCGATTGGGGGGGCTGAAAGCGAGGGCCGAAGGCCCGAGGAAATTTTTAAATTTAGAGTCTCTAAAATGCCATTTTCTGGACTTTGGGGGAAGATTTAACAGAATTCTGATAGTCAGAAAACAGCGTTTTAGTATGTCGAAATTTACAGGAAAGTATGGGCCAGACTGTAGTATTATAAATGCGCGGCAGGAATTTTCGTCGTAAATGGCAGTTGCGCGGAAATGAAGGCAGAACATTTGAGAAAATTTCGAAAATCTGGAGTCTCTAGATGGTCTGAAATGGCATTTTCAGAGTTTTCTTTCGCAAGACCCAACACGCAAAAGACAAAATAAATCAGTAGTTCATCAAAAATGTGCAGATTTTGTGGGATTTTCTTGAAAATGCGCGACAGAAATTCAGCTAAAATTTCTACGCGAGGAACGATCTGGAGTATGAGTAATATCTTCATTCTTTGCAGTTTGTCACAGATTAAATGATAAAGTTTGCATGATTTTGAAAAAAGAATGATTATTAGCAAATTATTGGGGGGGGGGGGCGGAGCCCCCCCGGTTGCTACGGCCCTGCAATTCAAGCGGGCAAGTATGGGCAGGCCTGCAGTTTCGCGCGCTTTTCGTCTTCGGTTTTTTCCTGTGTGAATCTTCAGTCTTTTACGAGTTTTTTCTCAAGCGAACGTGATATATATCTAACTATTCCAAAAGCTACTACTGTTTATTTTGTTCTTTCATTGTTATTTCGACCAAGATACAGTATTTTTATCTGACAATTCTAGGGCTTTCTATTCTATTAAAATATCTGGGGGGTTTTATCGAAAAGAATGCTTGAATGTCGGCCTGAATCGTGTTCATCGTATTAGTGCAAGGCAGACGTGGGGATTTAAAAGATGGTATTCGCTTTTCCTTCCATAAGTAAGTCTATGAAACACACACATCATATATTTGACCCTGGGTCATTTTGCTCAAGGCTAAGCTTCAAGAATTTATATTATTTCTTATTGTATAAAAATATGTGAATATTTAGATATAGTACAAAACAATTCAGCGCAAACAGCTGTAACCCATTTGAACGTCTCAGTTATTTAATCAATGTTATTCCTTTTTTCCAGTAACAATTAGAAAGGTTCTGAAAATTAGAATTAATTCATATTCTTCTTTCCGACAAGTTTTAAAAGGTGACAAGGCCCTCCTGACAAACTTGCAAGTGATAACTAATGTCATTCTTACAGTTACACGCCAGCAACTTCGAAGAACAGTCTACTGTGTCTCGGAATTTTCCACACTCAGAAGTAGAAAAGGAACATTTCAGGTGGTCTGAGCCCGAAAAAGCCAAATGATATGTAAAAAGTAGCCAAATCCGGCCAAAAGAAACCAAAATCGAAATTTAGAGTAGGGTCTGGGGCTAACCTAATTATACGAATTATATACCCATAAAAACAATCGCTAATACATTTATATTTGACATAGTGACTAGGAATTCCAACTTCGTCAACTACGGATCGAAAAAAAGTATAAGCGAAAAAAACGAGTACTTACGCGGGCGAACATTGTAAGCCCGGGGAGAGGGTACTAATTCCGATCGGATATTTACGTACATCCGGGATCGAATCGTACAATGTGATCGAATATAGCAGAGTTTATATAAAGTAACTTTTTATACTGATAGATGGCAGACTATATTTGAAAAGTTGCTTATTTCAGTATTTATTCAAAAAGAAGCCAAAAAGAGCCAAAAAATAGAAAGAAGCCAAACGAAATTTTTAGCAGCCAAACGAAGTCAAAAGAAGCCAAAATCGAGAAATTTGGCTCTTTTAACGCCAAACTGGCAACCCTGGAATCGATGGCATTTGAATCGATGGCACTTTGGCTTAATCGTTGCACTAACGCGATGCGCAAACGCAAACTCCATTTCTCGACGACGAAAACAGAAAATTAGGGATTTAAGACACTTGACCTTTCAGGTCAGTGTAATAAGCTCAGACTTAAGAGGTGTCTTGGCCCCTCAGCCTCGCTTTCGTGTTTAAGCTTATTTTCACATTTAATAGTCGAAATCCAAAATTATTTTTCATGCATGCGTTGACGAAGGATGTCTGCTTCTCTGACCACAGCCAGTCAGAAACAAACTTAAAATCCATTCCATTTAAGGTGGTCCTAATTTGAAAACAGTGTTAGTCGTGACGTAATTACTGGAAAGGTCTATTGAATTCCCACTGCAAAATGAAAAATATTTTAAGAAATGGTACTAAAGATAATATTCATAATACTCTTCATTAATATACTCTTCATGCAATACCATATGCTGTCTTCAGTGACTGACACTAAGAAGGATGAACGGGGAAAGCCTCCCCCACTCCCCCCATATTAATAGTTTCATAATCCTTAAACCGATAGCCAGGCAACAGTAAATATATAGGTAAAGATAGGTTGGTAGGCTATTTAGTATTATGCAAAATAAGTTCTCAACCCTGATCCTTACAAAGTTTCTGCTACTGTACAAAGTGTCCCAAAAAATCTCCCCTAAAGTAAAACTCCGCATATAAGAACCTAGCTATGTCATAACATAACCGGAAAATGTTTAGTCAAAATAGCCCGCTGGTGATTTTTTGGCTTAGTTTGAAAACATCAAAAATAAGCAAAAGTTGCCTCGGTTTGCTCGCCGTTCGAGCCTACAGCCTGAAGGCTCTTTTCCACTCATCGCAAAAATCAACTCGCAAGCTCGCTGCGAGTACTTTCATCTAATCACAATGCTCGAAAGTTTATTTTAATTAGCCTAGATGCAATCACTCGCAGCGAGCTGGTTTTGCGATGAGTGGAAAAGAGCCTAGAGATTTGCCATTTAGACACCCATTTCTATCAGAACCAATTCAGCCTGAAATTTGGAAAAAGGTTCTAATAATAGTTATGTCAGTGTAAGTGTACTGGTACCCGATACTTTTATAGAGTACGGATTATACAGTCATGAAATACTACTTAAATTAATATTCTGATCAAATATGTAATGGAAAATTGTAGGTTCTTATACACGGGATTTATTATTGGCATTTCGCCACGTTAACGTTTGTACAGGGTTATACTGTAAATTGTTCTCAAGAAAAACATCTTACTGTCTTCCTTGCATGGTCGACATTTAACTATTATGAAAGTAATTGCAACATCCCAACTTAAATTCGTCTGGAACGATTTTTTTAGATGACGCTACTCTGAGTGTGGGAACCGGTGGGAACCGAACCAGCTACCTTTGGCTTGGAAATATCATCCACTCAGTAGAGCATTGGACTAGCAAACCAAAGGTCGTGAAATCGATTCCCAACGCGGTCAAGATATTTCAGCTTGCCCGGTGTGAAGACACTCAGAGTAGTATATCATCTAGCATAATTTAGCTGGGGCCAATTGTTCAAAAGCAGGTTACCTTAACCCTAGGTTAACAAAATCTTCAAAACAAACTTGTTTTAAAACTTGCACATATTTTTCTAGAAAACTTGTCGGGATCAATAACAGAAGTTTTATTTTTGTAAAGTTTTGAAACAAACAGACAAACCAAAACAGCATGTTAATTTTTAACCCACGATTTGCGCTAATCCAGCTTTGAACAATCGACCCCTGTGTTCAAACAGATTCATCTAGAAATGTCGTTTCAAAGGACGGCTAATTATTGGTTTTAGAGTAGAATTAGGAATTTAGGTACGTATTTGGCTTAAGAGTACTTTCTAAACATATGAAATACCTTCTGCCTAATTTCTCCATGTCCATAATTTGGACATGGTGCAATATTGCATGGTGCCACCATTTTGAATAAATTCAATCTTGACCCAACAACTTCCAACATCAGCCAACATTACCAAATATAGTGTTCATGCAAATATGCTGGATCCAATAATATTGGACGATATTGGGCCAAGAATACTGGACTGGTTTCATTAAAGCTAACACAGTAATAACACAAAAAATAATGGGGAATTTTTTGGAAACCATCTATACTATATAGTTTAGCTACAATATCATTCCATTTTTGCAATCAAAACCATCATAAAAACTCCAACAAAAAGTGCAAGGATCTCCTTAATAGATTGCCATAACTTGCTGTCTTCTAGCAGTTCAGGAATAACAGATACTGTAGCGATATATATAAAGCCACCAGCGGTAAATGGTAAGATCCACAATGTGGCAGCAGAACTACCAGTACCCTCTGCTAGCAGGCCACATACAGTGCCAGCCATTGCGCCTGTAGCTGTGGTCAACTGAAGAAGCATCGCCTGTGTTAGGAAAGACATGCAGACGATAAATTAACCCATTAAAGCACAACACTTCCATACTGAAGAGTAAAATCCACGGCCAGTAGACAATTGACGATTCCCCTTATTACGTTTTCGTAGCGCTTTGCATTGTGGTTATAGTGGTATCACTGATAAAGATAGCGGCCTCGAATGAAAATATTGAATGTTTTCGCGAATATTTTGCTGTTGGCTATCGCGCACCTAAACCTAGCTTTTTTTAAAAGTTCTTGCAAGGGTCAGGGCAAAAAATAAGCCATCTTGAATATCAGTGATACCACTGGTCTATATCCACAATGCAAAGCGCTACGAAAACGTAATAATGGGGAATCTAGTATTTCAGAAAAATATAAAAGAAAACAAATTCCGAAGATAACTTAATCTTGAAATTCAAGACAAAAGTTAAAACACGCGACGACCTGTTGAAGCGGTAAATTTTCGACATTATTTCAAAATCATCATCAGACCGAGTATCACAGTGATCATCATATCTTGAATTTCAATTTTCAAGATAGTAAATTTATTTCTTTTTATATTTTTTGGAAAGTAGAATCGTCTGAAATTTGAGAGAGTGTAAAATAAAAAAGTAGGTGAATAGAATATATTGCAATTCAATGTTAGTGAACTTAGTGTACCCACTAACACATTTTACACATTCCCATTGACAGGTAAGATAGATCGTCTGGCATTGGACAGAGCAAAATAAGAAGTATAGGGCACATTGCGGCTTAATGGTAATACATTGTCAAACAATCTAGTAAATATTTTTGAACCCCATAGTTTTCCCTTGACAAATAAAACTGTGCAACATAAGAGTAAAATACAGTAACATAGCAGAGGTTTAAACACTGCAGTCACTATCCAAAGCGCTTTGGTAAAATGGGCATAGAATTTGAACATTTCAAGCTCAAATTAGTCTATACCAAAAATTTCAGATTAATGTTTGGACCGTGAGTTAAGTTTTGAATGTTCAGTTTGTTGTATATATTATATTAGACTGGTAGGCTCATCTTTCATACTTTGAAAACTCTGTAGACGCTCGCGAAACATTTTTTATTTCTTATAGTACACAGACCTTCCAAAAAACATCAAACTTCTTTATTTTACACAAAGCTTCGGTTTGATTTCTAAATATTATCGAAAGAAAAACCTCAAATCAGCCATTCCATGCCAATATCTCTTACATCAACATCGATGAAACGTGCTGGCATTAAATTATATATACAGGAAAGCCTACGGCCTCACGCGGCATTTCTGAAGCATTCTTAAACCCTGCATAGTAGGGCGCATAAGGTTTCAACCAATTGTCCATCAAAGCTCAAAATGTCATCTAGTGCTTGATAGAGTAAAATAACAAAGTAGGACACAAATACAGGTCGTAAGGGGTAAATACCTTATTCGTACTTAATTTAAATACACTATTCGAGGCAATGTTTCGCGAGACTTTATTTTCGCGATTTTGATGGGCAGAAATACAAAAAAAGCATTAAACAACATCTTGTTTTCTATAAAAATCCAAAAGTCATAACTTTCGAAACAAGTCAAAATAAGATAGTCAACATAAGGTATGTACTGTACCGTTAGTCTGTACGGTAGTCCGCGATGTTTTTACTAATAATTTTAATACTCATCTTTATTGTCGGCGGCAAGACAAAATTGCCAAACTGTACTACGTATTTAAAACACAAGTAGGGAGGGGTGCTATATCAGATATAAAACTCGAGGCGACAGCTGAGTGTTTTATATCTGATAAAGTACGTACTACGAGTATATTAAATGACTTAAATAACGACCCATCTGTTGAGTTCACTGGCGAAGTAATTTAGCCAAACTTTATATAAATTAACATGATTTTTTAATGGATTTATGAAATAAATGATATTAAGAATTGAACGGAGTGGTCTGTGTCAGTTTAGGGATTCTGAACCCTAGCTTGGGGTATGCTAATGAGGTTTGCGACCCTAACTTATCTTATAAAGCCCAGCACTCTGATTCCCCTCCCGTCACTAGAAACGCTTCCCCCCTCCACCTCACCCTTGTTGGTTGGTCGGGTGTTATCCCCCATCCCTTGTGTGTTGTACAAATTATGAATTATTCATTGAATTATATAATATAGAAATATTCGCACGATTTTAATTTCGCGATTTTTTTTTTAGTTCGCAAAAATCATGAAATTAAAGTCGCGTAAAATGAATTGAAATCGACAATAAACACATTTTAAAAATTGTACTTACTTTGCGTTTTGAGCACCCAGATTGAATAAGAATTGCAAAATCTCCAATTTCGTGAGGTACTTCATGTAAGAGGATTGTAATGGTGGTTATTAAACCCAGATTTTTATTGACAAGGAATGAAGCACCAATTGCCAGTCCATCAGTGAAGTTGTGTGTAAAATCAGCAGCAAGATTTAGATAACCAGCCACCTTAATATCACCTTGACTGGAATCATCATGACTGTGATCTTTGTTGCTATGGTCATTGTTGCTATGGTCACCATCGTTCTCTAAAATGGATTAATATGTTTCTATGTGTGAAGATGTGTTGCCATGTGGCTAACCTTAGAATCATAACTGGAGTGAGTACAGCAATCGTACTCTGATTGGTCAATTATGAATGCTATCCTTGGAATGGTACGTGACAGAAGCTGGAAGGCAGAGCTACTTTCAGTGCAATAATTTCTACACACCTCTGAATGATAACTGAATAAAGCTGTTACAATCACTTTACAATTGTTATTATCTGTGCAAATTTATATCAATTTAAGCCAAAAGAACTTCAATTTGCAGTACATTGGCACCCCAATAATTTGACAAGTATCAGATCTTTCGGTCTATCAAGTAGTGTGATTTATTGCACACTCCAAATCTCCAATAAACCATCAATGTGCAAGATTCTCCCTACCCTCGTTCTAGAGGCTGTTTGCAAGGCAAAATTAACGAGAGGCGAGAAGGAAGAGCCTCTGGTCTATAAATAGCTATAATTAGCTTACAGTAAAGTTTATGTCCCAAACTGGTTTGACATATTTTTACAAATGGCCAATCGCATGCGAGATTCAAATTCTGAACCTAATCAAGTGTGAAAGTGGGATTTGCAACCGATGTGACCAGAGGCTCTTCCTTCTCGCCTCTCATTAATTTCGCCTCGCAAACAGCCTCTGGAACCAGGGTAGGGAGAACCTTGCAACCAGAGTAGATTCTTCCTTTGATGAGTATTAAAATTGTCTGGCATTAGACAGAGTAAAATAATAAGGTGGATAAAGTTTCTCAAAGTCTGTATCAATTTCCCAACATAGTCAGGTGCATTTGGGCACATTGTTGCTTGATGGCCAGTTAACTAGAAAGATTGGTTAGTGTTGAAGAATTGTATAGAGGGAAATTTCCAGTGTAATACACGGTTCGTTGGTTAGAGTACTGCACAAGAATCACAGGGCTGCAGGTTCGATTCCTGCTGGAAAGCCTATTTTAACTGCTCCTGGTTAGGCCAAATAAAAATAACAGTTGGTTTCAGGTTTCCAACCGACCTGTCAGAAATATGACCAACCATAAACATTTTATTGACATTTAAACGTTTAGACTGAACATTGTTGGCATTAAATATTAAGTTTTATATGTTGCACGTGAAAACTCGATGTAAAAACAATAAAAACTAAGAGTTCATAACAAGTTTTAACTTATATTTATTGCTACTTGAGTAAAATTTTTTAAATAAAATGTTTTTCCGACCTACCTACCCATATAAAACATGGCTGTGAAATCTGAAACCAACTATTATTTTTATTTGGCCTTAGGTCTTAATAAATGTATATAATTTACACTTGAAATTTCCATCTACAAAATCCTTCAACATTAACCCATTGAGTAACAGCACTCTCCCCCTGATGAGTAAAATTGTCTGGTGTTAGACAGAGTAAAATAATAAAGTAGTGCACATCAGAGCACATTGCCACTTAAAGGGTTAACAGGGTGCATGGGCAGATAGTCTGATTAACCCATTGAGTGACAGCACTCTCCCCTGACAAGTAAAATTGTCTGGCGTTAGACAGAGTAAAATAATAAAGCAGGGCACGTCTGGGTGCATTGCCAACTTAAAGAGTAAGTTCAATCAAGTGAAATGCCCAAACATCCAGACAGTTTGGTGAACCCATTAATGCACAAAACTCTCTGCTTGATGAGTAAAATTGTCTGGCATTACGCACAGAGTAAAATAATAAAGTCAGGTGCATTTGGGTGCATTGCAGCTTAATTGATTAACTGGTTATAACCCATTAACTCTCCATTTGATGAATAAAATCATCTGGCAGCAGACAGAGCAAAATAATAAAGCAGGTACATTTGGGTGAAGTCCAGCTTAATGTGTTAAACTGGAATGTACAATATATCATAACAACCCTACGCTATACAATTCAATACTAACACTTTAGGTGTCAAAGCACCCTGATGCGCCCTAGTTTATGATTTTACTCTGTCCAACAAATCCTATGCTATACAATTCAATATTAACCCTTTAGGTGGCAAAGCACCCTGATGTGCCCTACTTTATGATTCCACTCTGTCCAATGCCAGACGATTTTACTTGTCAAGGGGGAGAGTGCTGCCACTCAAT